CCCCTGTGCTCCCCCCGCCCCCCTGCTCCCCCCGCCCCCCTGCTCCCCCCGCCCCCGTGCTCCCCCCGCCCCCCGTGCTCCCCCCGCCCCCCTGCTCCCCCCGCCCCCCCGTGCTCCCCCCGCCCCCCTGCTCCCCCCGCCCCCCTGCTCCCCCCGCCCCCGTGCTCCCCCCGCCCCCCGTGCTCCCCCCGCCCCCCTGCTCCCCCCGCCCCCCCGTGCTCCCCCCGCCCCCCTGCTCCCCCCGCCCCCCTGCTCCCCCCGCCCCCGTGCTCCCCCCTCCCCCGTGCTCCCCCCTCCCCCCCGTGCTCCCCCCGCCCCCCTGCTCCCCCCGCCCCCCTGCTCCCCCCGCCCCCCTGCTCCCCCCGCCCCCGTGCTCCCCCCGCCCCCCCGTGCTCCCCCTCCCCCCGGTGCTCCCCCGCCCCCCGTGCTCCCCCCGCCCCCCCGCTCCCTGCTCATCTGCTTGTACAGTAGCCGACACAAGGCCCGGGCTGGCCTTCCTACCCTGCGCCCTGCCCAGCCGGACCACACGCAGGTTTCCTGCATCTCTGGGTGACTTCACCTCCTGCCTCTGGGTTTCTCCACACCGGCCGCTGGCCTGTCCCCAGAATGTCCCCCTCCTGAGCTTCAACCTGCCTGGGAGGCCCTGGGTTCTCGGCCCCAGCCTCCCTGACTGCTGCATGACCTTAGTGCCAGATCATCTTGGTCCCCAGGCTGCCGCCCCCCCCCCCCACAGGTGCCGGGGCCCTGCCTGGTGGTGACGCGTGGGCTGTCCACCCATCTCTGGCTGCAGGAGAAGCCTCTATCCCAGAGCGTCCACAGCTGGGTGGCGGCCTTGCCCGCTCTGTCCTTCTGCGCTGGCTGGACCCCCAGAGACCCTGGGCTCCTGAGCCCAAGGCCTGACGGCTCTGTCTCCTATCTGCAGGGCAGAGCTTGGGGGCCCGGCGCCCTTGACCTGGCTTGGCGGGCTTTGCTGCTGTACACGGGGCCCCTGGGGGCCTGGGGAAGGCTCCACTGGGGCAGGGGGGGGGGGCGCGGGCCTGGATGAGTGGTGGTAGCGGGAAGGGAGCAGGCTTGGTTCTGCAGGTTCCCATGGGTGAGCAGGGCTGGGGGGCAGGAATAGCACCCCTCACCCCGAGCTCCAAGAGGCTGGGAGGAGGAATGGGCAGGCTCTCTGGTGGACTGGGCTGAGGCCCCATGGTGGGAAGTGACATCAAGTGGGCTCTCTGGGGAGCCGGGGCCTGCCCCTGCCCTGGCAGAGACCACCGCACAGACTAAGGGGCGTCTGGCTCAGACCCAGCGTGGGGAGGCGGCGGCCTTGGAGCCAGGGTGGCCGTGTGTATCTTAGAGGATCAGCTGCCCCTCAGGTCCCGTGTTGCTCAGCTGCAGCCCCCGGGGTCCCGCTCACCCCTGCCCCGCAGTGTGGCCCGCCCGGGCATGTGTGTGAAGCTGATCCTGGGGGAGATAATTTTATCTCTGAACAAACACTGTGTCCAGCTGTCTCCTCCTGGGACAAGGCTGTTTTCCTCAGGCCCCTTCCTGCCCTGCTGTAACGCCACACTGATTAACTCGGCTCTGCCGGGCCAGGTCTTTCTTGGTAATAACAGAGCCCAATCTCCTGCGGCCGCCTTGACCTGTGTCCCAAGGCCAGAGTTTGGGGGCTGGTGCTGTTCTGGACTCTCCTCACCGCCTTCCCCGCTCTGGAGCGGGGGTCTGCCGTCCTCGACGGCCCGTCTCTAACCAGGTTCTCTGCAAGCGTCAGAGGGCTCAGGGCCGGGGGCTGCAGACGGTTCAACAATAAGTCAAGTGTGGTGACACATGGGCCCCGGAGCCCCAGCTGCTTGTGCAACAGCTGCGTGAGGATCGTGGTAAAGTTCTCAGAAGCAGCACGAGCAGAAGGCCGGAGGATGGGCCACAGCGGTAGGAAGCCTGCCGGGCAAACACGGAGCCCCGAATCCACCCCCCCAAAAAATAATAGTTGTTTAAAAGCATTTGAAAATAAGAAAGCCCTGCACCCAGAGCTGAGCTGGACCTGTCACCTTTGAGGGCCTACTCGCCTTCCGAGGAAAGTGAGAGGGACCCACGTGGTCTTGGGCCAGCTTGAGGTGTACATAGACCTCCCTCCCTCCCTGTGGAGTGCCAACCAGGGCGGGCACCATTCTGGGAGCCTGGAAAAAGGGTAGGGCACAGCCATTCCCAACCAAAGCCCTGCACCCAGGACCTAAGGACAGAGGTGGGCCCAGCCACACAGCCTCCTTCCCTCAGGATTCCACGTGCAAACAAAACACGAGCAGAAGGGCTAGCTTCCCAGGCCCCGTGCTCTGCGCTCGCGCTGACCTGGGCTGGGTGGTGTAAATGTTATTTTATCTTAATGAGCACCATTTGGGCCCCGTGATGGCCGTGTCTGGCCACCCTGTCTTGGTAGACGGCCTGGCAGGGAACCCTCTGGGACAGGGCCAGCGGTGTCACCCGTCTGAGCAGAAGTCCCCCCCAGGGCCGGCTTCCCCGGGGAGGCAGGCACGGGCCAACTGGAAGGGAGCCCGAGAAGCAGAAGGCTCTGTGGCTTCGTGGCTTTGCGGCTCTGTGCAGGCCCAGCCAGCCTCCTCATCCCAGGCTGGCCTCGTGGGTCCCCTGCTGGCCAGGGCTCTGGGTCAGCTACTCACAACGTGGGTCGCCGCGGGCTGCATGTCATACCAACTATGCATGTGGCATTGAATCCCCACCAGGACTGGGGAGACAGCCATCCACCCTGCACAGCTGAGGCCAGGGGTGGGAGTCAGCCCTGAGGTTCATTCTCCTTCCTTTGCTGGGCTGTGTGGACCGGAGGACAATGTGTGGGACTTCCTCAGAGTGAGGTAGCCCAGGAACCGCCTGCCTAGTACACCACAAGACCAGCCACAAGCTGCCCAGCATAGAGCAGGCCGGAGGGGACATTTCACCCTGGTCTCTGTAATGATGGCCTCGTGAATGGAGCTGGGGTGGAGCCATGGCTGGCCACAGGCCGGAGGTGGCGAGGCCAGGCCCCTCTGCAGGCCACAGCCTCCCCCGGCAGGCCAGCCGCTGTCTGGCCCTGAGGATGCTCTGTGAGTGGACAGATCCTCCGGCGGCCTCCCTTTTAGGAGGCCCACTGGGGGGTGAGGCCCCCGGGCCCCTCTTCTCTCACTACCGTCAGGCCTCAGAGGACTGCTCCAGCCGGTTCCATGTTCCCGAGGCTTCTGTGGCTTTCCCTTGGCACCGCGAGCACTGCTGTGACAGGCTGGGCAGGACTCAAGACGATCAGAGTAGAGGCAGGCTGAGGTGCTGCAGGAAGGCTCTGGCCTTGTCAAGAGTCAACAGTTCTACTTTCCTTTTGAACTTAGCCAAGTTACACTATTCACCTTCATTTGTTCACTCTTGTTGTCCATCCAGCCTTCTTTCCACCCATCATCCATCCATTCATCCACCCATTCATCCTCCCACCTACCCATCATCCACCCATCATCCACCCACCTATCCATCATCTACCCATCCATCCATCATTCATTTATCCATCCACCCACCCAACTATCCATCATCCACCCATCCTCCCAAACATCCATCATCCACCCATCCACTCATCCATCCATCATCCACCCATCCACTCATCCATCCATCATCCACCCATCCACCCACCCATCCATCCATCCATCCATCCATCCATTCACCCATCCATCCTCCCATCCATCCATCCATATCCATCCACTCATCCATTCACCCACCTATCCTCCCATCCATCCATCCATTCATCCTCCCACCCTCCCATCCATCCATCCATTCATCCATCCATCCATCCATCCGCTCACCCATCCATCCATCCACCCACCCATCCATCCATCCATCCATCCATCCACCCACCCACCCACCCATCCATCCATCCTCCCATCCATCCATCCACCCACCCACCCACCCATCCATCCACTCACCCATCCATCTATCCATCCATCCACCCACCCATCCATCCATCCATCCATCCATCCATCCATCCATCCATCCACCCATCCACCCACCCACCCATCCATCCATCCATCCTCCCATCCATCCATCCATCCACCCACCCACCCATCCATCCACTCACCCATCCATCTATCCATCCATCCATCCACCCACCCATCCATCCATCCATCCATCCACCCATCCACCCACCCACCCACCCATCTATCCATCCTCCCATCTATCCATCCATCCACCCATCCATCCACCCACCCACCCATCCATCCATCCTCCCATCCATCCATCCATCCACCCACCCACCCATCCATCCACTCACCCATCCATCTATCCATCCATCCTCCCATCACCATCCACCCATCCAACCACCCACCTACGCACCCACCTATCACCCTTCCATCCACCTATCCATCCATCCACTTGTCTATCAATCCATTCATCTCTCCCTTGGTCCATCTGTCCATCTACCATCATTCCACTCACTCATGTATCCACCCATCCATCCTCTCATCTTTCAGTGCATCTGTTTATTCATTGTAACCCAAATGCTAGTCTGGGGCCCTGGCTTGGGAGCCTGTATGGGATGGTCTGTGCTGGAGCTCACTGTGCATGCAAGCACTCCCCGGGAGACACTTACTGGTGGGTCGGTCTCCGGCGGGACGGTCTGGCTGGCACTGCGTCTGCCCCTCAGCATTGTTCTCCTGCTGCCCATGCCCCAGCCCGTGGCCTCTTGCACACAGGCTCAGTGGAAAGCCATGTGGTGGCAGGCATGAGCTCCAGGGCTTCCCTAAAGCTTGAGAACACAGGTCTTGGCCCCTGGCATGGCGGCCCCGCCCAGTCCGGAGGCCCCCCACCAACCCTATGGGCCCCAGGTTTGCAGAGCAGCTGTCCACTAGATATCATGTATCAGGGCCTGGCTCACGTCACTGGTCTGTCCAACTTCTAGGTGCCACTGGGTGCCACCTGTCCCCCAGGCCACCCTGGGGAGCTGCCCAGGTCCCGGGCCTGTGGGGTAAGCCTGATGCCCTCTTCCTCAGGAAATCGTCCTGGTGGTGTTCTTTGGAACGGAGTATGTGGTCCGCCTCTGGTCTGCAGGCTGCCGCAGCAAGTATGTGGGCATCTGGGGCCGGCTGCGCTTTGCCCGGAAGCCCATTTCCATCATCGGTGAGTCACCCGCCACGGGCCAGGGAGTTCCCCCAAACACAAGCACCATCAGACTACCCCAGGTACCGAGAGACCCCCAAACACAAGCACCATCAGACTACCCCAGGTACCGAGGGACCCCCAAACACAAGCACCGTCAGACTACCCCAGGTACCGAGGGACCCCCAAACACAAGCACCGTCAGACTACCCCAGGTACCGAGGGACCCCCAAACACAAGCACCGTCAGACTACCCCAGGTACCGAGGGACCCCCAAACACAAGCACCGTCAGACTACCCCAGGTACCGAGGGACCCCCAAACACAAGCACCATCAGACTACCCCAGGTACCGAGGGAGCCTCGACTGCTGCGTCTGCCCACCATGGGGCTGGACCCCCTGGCCCCCAGCCTTGGAGCCAGTGGCAGCCGGGCGCTGCCCGGCGTGGCGGCAGCTCTTGGTGCCCGGGGGCTGGAGGTCCTGACCTGGGCTTTTCCTCCCAGACCTCATCGTGGTCGTGGCCTCCATGGTTGTCCTGTGTGTGGGCTCCAAAGGGCAGGTGTTTGCCACGTCGGCCATCAGGTACGTCCGGGTTTTGAGGCTCCCTGGGCACCCCTCCTGCTGCCAGCGGTGGGGGGGTCTGCCCTGCCATCTGCCTGGCTTTGCCGGGGCTCTCTGTGGGGGTGACGGGCAGAGCCGAGCCAGGGAAGCAGCCCGTGGGCCTGGTGCTGGGCCCTGTATGCATCCAGCTGCCCTGGGTTCAAGTTCTGCCCAGAGCTTCATTCCTTCCTACACTCTGTGGCAACCCTACCATTTGAGTCCGGTCTGCTCATCAGAAAGCTGGAGGTGTTCGGCCTCCCCCAGGGGGAGAGGGAGGGGCTGAAGATGGGGCAGCAGCCCTCGGCCTGGTGCCTTTGGAGTGACCCGTGGAGCCAGCCGAGAGGGGCTGCCGTGGGGGCCGGGGCCAGGAGCAGAGGGACATTCGCAAATCTCTCCAGGAGGCCTGGCACGGCTGGTTCGCCAGAGGGGGTGCCGCGGCCTGTGGCCTCACCCTACCCCGTGTCCCCCCAGGGGCATTCGCTTCCTGCAGATCCTGCGGATGCTGCACGTGGACCGCCAGGGGGGCACCTGGAGGCTGCTGGGCTCCGTGGTCTTCATCCACCGCCAGGTGGGTGCCTGAGGTGGGAGCGCGGGGCCCCCAGCGCTGCTGTGAGGGCCCCAGGTGAGCGGCAGGGCCACGTGTGTGCCAGGGCACTGATCCCAGGCCCTCCCCGCAAGACGGACAGAGATAGCTCCAGTTTTCACCCATGGTGCCAGCCTGGCTGGGGTGGGGGGGATGGGGGCAGGGACTCCAGATCAGAGGGGCTCCTGAAACACAGAGAAGGTTCAGAAGTCTGAAGGCAGGCCAGGGGAGGACCAGAGTGAGGATGAGAGCCTCAGACCTTTCCCTTAGCTCCCAGAGGCCATGCAAGGGACCTGGCCAAGCCTGGCAGGGGAAGGGTGGGGGGGGTAGGGGAGGGGGGAGGGGGGCGCTGGTCCAAGGGGAGAGCCGGGAACAGCCCCACTGAGAGAAGACCCCAAAACCTGCCGCTGGGGGTTATCTGGAGTCTGTCTCCACGTGGGAAACAGGCTGGAGTTGACATGGAATGATCTGGAAAAGGCTGGAGCTTACCGCCAAGGCAGCTCCCTGGCTGTGGTGACAGTGGGCCGGAGGCTCGTGTGTGGCGTGGGCTGACGCGGTCCCCTCTGCCGGCCTAGGAGCTGATCACCACCTTGTACATCGGCTTCCTGGGCCTCATCTTCTCCTCCTACTTCGTGTACCTGGCTGAGAAGGACGCTGTGAACGAGTCGGGCCGGGTGGAGTTTGGCAGCTACGCGGACGCGCTGTGGTGGGGGGTGGTAAGTCAGGGCCCTGGGCAGGGCGGCCTGGAGGTGGGGAGGTGGGCTGTGTGGCTGAGTGGGGGGGGTGGGCAGACACTGGCGTGTTAGGCCTCTTTGTCCAGCTGGGCTGGTGGCTCCTGCCTGTGATCCTAGCTGTGATCTCAGGCAGCTGAGATCTGAGGATTGTGGTTAGAAGCCAGCCCAGGCAGGAAAGTCCATGAGATGCCTATCTCCAGTGAACCCCTAGAAAACCGGAAGTGGAGCTGTGAATCAAAGTGATAGAGCTCTGCTAGCCTTGAGCAAAAAAGCTCAGGGACAGTGCCTAGGCCCTGAGTTCAAGCCCCACAACAACAACAAAATCAGCTTTTTGTCCACCAATTTATGGTTTTTAAGTCGACAGTGCAAGGCACTATGCCCCAGGCCGAGCGTGCCGGGGCCCTGTCTTGAAATTTGAACCCTGCTATCCTGGAACTTATATTCTGGAAGGGAAATCTGCCAGGGTGACGAAGGTGTGTGCCGTATCTGAGCTCGCCAGACTACGTGATGGGCTCCCTGCTGGAGGGATGCTGGCGGCAGGCTGGGGGCCCCCGGGGTCTTTGAGTCTCCGTGACAGAGTCTGCGGGATCCCGTGAGTCCTCGCGCCCAGAGTTAAACCGTGAGATACTGTGAGGGCCTGTGACGTGCGTGGAGCTCTGGCTTCTGTGGTTGGGGCCGGCAGGTTCTCTCGCTGCTGGGCTGCCACAAAGGAGTGTCTGGGGCAGGCTGTGCGGCTGTGGTGACAGGCGTGAGCCGGGGCTCCCTGGGAGTTGAGCGTCCAGGCCTTGAGTGTGTGCGCTGTGTCCTGCAGTGGTTTGTCCTGCAGCCGCGTGTCGGGGTCTGGGGGGCCCAGGCGTCAGGCCTCGGGCGTGGGGGAGGGAGGCATTCTCAGGAGCAGTGACTGAGGAAACCTGGCCACCCCCTCGGCACAAAGGTGCGGGCCAGGGTGTCATAGGGAGCGAGGACGGCCCCCTCCCACTGACCCGGGAGCCGCTGGCAGCCCCAGAGCTGGCCGCCGTTCAGGGCTCCGGGGTCCGGCGATCAGGCTGCCACCGGGGCCCAGAGGCACCATCACAGCCGCAGCGAGCAGCATGGTGAGGAGGCCCGGTCCCCGCTGGGCCGCCTTGGCCGGTGGGAAGGCAGACCCAGCTGCAGAGGGGCGGTCTGCGGGGGAGGGGCGGCGCAGGCGATGGCTGTGGAGCCCCGCTGCTCCCAGGGAGGAGGACTTGCAGGCTCCTCTAACCCCAGAGCAGCCACCCCGATTGCATAGCCTTGTGCTCCTGTGATAACTGGCAGACCCTGGCCACCAGTGTATTTTCTGGAAGCTTCCAACATGTACACAGGCTCAAGGAAAGCAAGGATGGGCCGATAAACATCCATGTTGGGGCAGGCCCTAGACTCAGCCTCTGCTTGTCTTCCTGGGGCCTGGTGTCCCAGAAGGGCCAAGGATGCCAGGCCTGAACCGGTGTAAAACAGAGGACGGGCTGGGAAGGTGGCTCAGTAGTACAGTGCTTGCCTTGCATGCATCAGGCCCTGGGTTCGATCCCTCAGCACCACATAAGCAGAAAAAGCCAGAAGTGGCACTGTGGCTCAGTGATAGAGCGCTAGCCTTGTGCTGAAGAGCTGAGGGACAGCGCCCAGGCCCAGAGTTTGGGCTCCGGGACCATCAAAAAAGAAAAAAGAGGACAGAGCCCTCAAAAGACCCTGTCAGGGGTATAATGCAGGGCCAGGAATGGACCCAGGGTGGGGGAAGAGCCTGGTGGAGCACATGAACTGTCTGGAGGCCCGAGATGTCAGGTCCGCGTGGGGGTCTGTGTGGATGTCAGGGCCATTAGAGATCAGGTCTGTGTGGAGGTCAGGGGGTGTGTGGAGGTCAGGGGGTGTGTGGAGGTCAGGGGGTGTGTGGAGGTCAGGGGGTGTGTGGAGGTCAAGTCTGTGTGGAGGTCAGGGGGTGTATGGAGGTCAGGTCTGTATGGAGGTCAGGGGGTGTGTGGAGGTCAGGTCTGTATGGAGGTCAGGGGGTGTGTGGAGGTCAGGGGGTGTGTGGAGGTCAGGTCTGTGTGGAGATCAGGGGGTGTATGGAGGTCAGGGGGTGTATGGAGGTCAGGTCTGTATGGAGGTCAGGGGGTGTGTGGAGGTCAGGGGGTGTGTGGAGGTCAGGTCTGTGTGGAGGTCAGGGTCTGTATGGAGGTCGGGTGTGTGGAGGTCAGGTCTGTGTGGAGGTCAGGGTCTGTACGGAGGTCAGGGGGTGTGTGGAGGTCAGGGTCTGTGTGGAGGTCAGGGCCATTCAGAGATCAGGTCTGTGTGGAGGTCAGGTCTGTGTGGAGGTCAGGGTCTGTATGGAGGTCAAGTCTGTATGGAGGTCAGGTCTGTGTGGAGGTCAGGGTCTGTATGGAGGTCAGGGCGTGTGTGGAGGTCAGGGGGTGTATGGAGGTCAGGGGGTGTGTGGAGGTCAGGGGGTGTGTGGAGGTCAGGTCTGTGTGGAGGTCAGGGTCTGTATGGAGGTCAGGTCTGTGTGGAGGTCAGGGTCTGTATGGAGGTCAGGGCGTGTGTGGAGGTCAGGGGGTGTATGGAGGTCAGGGGGTGTGTGGAGGTCAGGGTCTGTGTGGAGGTCAGGGGGTGTGTGGAGGTCAGGATCTGTATGGAGATCAGGGGGTGTGTGGAGATCAGAGTCTGTGTGGAGGTCAGGGGATGTGTGGAGGTCAGGGGGTGTGTGGAGGTCAGGGGGTGTGTGGAGGTCAGGGGGTGTGTGGAGGTCAGGTCTGTATGGAGGTCAGGGGGTGTGTGGAGGTCAGGTCTGTATGGAGGTCAGGGTCTGTATGGAGGTCAGGGGGTATGTGGAGATCAGGTCTGTGTGGAGGTCAGGGGGTGAGTGGAGGTCAGGTCTGTGTGGAGGTCAGGGGGTGAGTGGAGGTCAGGTCTGTGTGGAGGTCAGGGTCTGTGTGGAGGTCAGGGGGTGAGTGGAGGTCAGGTCTGTGTGGAGGTCAGGGGGTGTGTGGAGGTCAGGGGGTGTGTGGAGGTCAGGTCTGTGTGGAGGTCAGGGTCTGTATGGAGGTCAGGGGGTGTGTGGAGGTCAGGGTGTGTGTGGAGGTCAGGGTCTGTGTGGAGGTCAGGGTGTGTGTGGAGGTCAGGGGGTGTGTGGAGGTCAGGGTCTGTGTGGAGGTCAGGGTCTGTGTGGAGGTCGGGGTGTGTGGAGGTCAGGGGCTGTATGGAGGTCAAGGAGTATGTGGAGGTCAGGGGGTGTGTGGAGGTCAGGTCTGTGTGGAGGTCATCTGTGTGGAGGTCAGGGCTGTGTGGGGGTCAGGCCCGTGTTGGCGCCGGGCACTGGGCCCTGTGGCAGGATAGGTGGCTGAGCCACAGCTCCTGGCTGGGTGGGGCAGCGCAGGACCGTGTGGACGGCAGCGTGTAGCAGGCCGATCAGCAGTGCCCAGCTCTGGCACTGCCCTGCCTGCCTTCCCTGCTGCCCGCTGGAGCTGTTCCCCGGTCTCGGCTCACCCCATCCCCAGGCCCTTGGGCCCCCGTCCGCGGCCGAGTGCGCTTCTACTCCCACACCTGTGCAAACATCCGCCCGCCGGCCAGGAACACGGCCCCTTTGTGCCCAGCTTGGCACCAGCGCCCCGTCCCACGCCGGCAGCTGCCGTGGGTCCCAGCTCAGCGCCCCGGTCGGCTATTGTTCCTGTCAGGCCCTGGGGTTCCAGCTGGGGGGGGGGGGTCCCCTCACCGCCGTGTGGCAGCCGCACTGCAGCAGCGGGAGGGGCTTGAGTTCTGGGCCGTGTTCCTGGCATTTCTTGGGCACACAAACCTAGAGACACCCGGGGTGGGCTCCAGGGCTCCGTGGCCTGCCCCTGGGCCCGGGGCAGAGGTGGGCAGGTGTGGGTGGGCCGGGTGTGGCTGCCTGTCCTGGGGCGCCCAGCAGGTGGGGGATGTGCGGAGGGGGGCTCTGCAGGCCGCGCAGGGGTCCCCGTGAGCCTGTGGCAGCGGGGTGCCCCTCCCCGCCTGGCCGTGCCTCAGGGCCCGGGCAGGCCCCTGGACGCCCGCACTGCTCCCGTGGGACGCCCGGCAGCGGTCCGGGGGTGAGGCGGGGACAGGAAGGACAGCAGTGCCTCTGTGTCCCGAGCGCGGCCACGCGAAGCCCCAGCGCGGCCACGCGAAGCCCCAAGGGCGGCCACGCGAAGCCCCATAGCCGGTGGCGCCCACCACAGCCCGAGGTTGAGGTCGGGGGGAGCTGCCGCTTGGGCCTGCTGGTCATGTGTAGCGGGCGGCCATGCTGCTCTGTGGCTCTGTCCTCTTCTCCCCCCCCACTACTCCCAGGACCCCCCCCCCAGGCCCTCACCGCGACTATGAAGACCCCAGTTCCAGTTAAGATCACACCCCGCCTGGATGGCCGGAAACAGGCTTTGGGGGGACAAGTGGGGTCCCGGGCACACCTCGCAGGAAGGTCCTGTGCCGGGCTGGGGCCAGGTTTTCCGGCATTGGGCGTAAGTGGGGGTGCTGTGCCCCCCGCCCCTCCCGCGGAGGTCCCCGGGACACAGGGCCCCGTCTCAAGCGTGGCGCCAAGTGTGGCCGGGAGACACTCAGATTTTGTTTCCTCTTTGCCCTTGTTTGTGTTCGGTGGGAGAGGCAGGAGGCAGGTTTTACAAACACGGGCTCCTCTGTCTAGGGCCCGGGGGTCTCTGAAAACAGCCGCCCTGGGCTCTGTCTACCCCAGAGCGGGCGGCTAAATTTAGATTGCAGAATGAAAAGGCCGGAACCCCGCCCCTGCGCCTCAGCCCCTCTGAAAACACAGCCTGCCAGCCCTCCGCCATCACCTGCAGGCCGGAGAGTTCCGCCTCCTAGGCTCAGGGGCATTCTGGCCAAGCGAGGCTGGCACGGGGACCCAGGGCGGACTGTCCAGGGAAGAGATGGCAAGGAGATGCAGAGGCCCGGGGGCCGGGTCTGGCAGCACGCAGCTGCCCCTGGCCTGGGATCCTCCCTCCTACAGAACGCCTAGCTCTGCAAGACCCTTGCCAGAGAGCTCTTCCCCAGAGGGAACTTTCCAGAGGGGCGTTGTAGGGTAAATAGGAGTCCACAAAGCACATCCATCTTCTTGTTCTCACTGCCCACTGGCCAACACTTGGGGGATGTACTGCGCGACTCCCTCGGCCCAGGACAACATCCGGGACTGGTCTCCTCTTGGGGACAGGGGGACAGTCGTGCCAGTGAGGAGGAGAACAGAGGTTCCCAGCTTCTCGTCCACTTGGAGAAGCAAACGCAGGGAGAGGAGTGGAGAGGGGCGGCGGGGTCGGGCCGCGATGTCAGCCGGGCAGCACGGCACCGTGTCCACTGGGTGGCCCCGGGCAGGTTACTAACCTCGCTGGGCCCATCTGTGAAATGACTATGGTATGGGCTGACTCTCAGGCTCTGCTCGGAAAGCCTGGGGCCCAGAGGGCAGGGGCTCCCGGCCGGCCTGGGCCTCCCCTCAGAGGCCAGCTCTGGGGGTGCGGCGTCAGGAAGGAAAGCTAACCATCAAAAGGCTCAAGGAACACAGGGATAACTGGGTCAGCAGGACTTCTGTGGATGAGAAGCCATTTAATCTCCCCAAGTTTACTTGCTCAAGTTGGGAATCAAAGGAGGAACGTCAGGTCCTGACCCCGCTACCCGCGCAGACGCCGCGCCTCAGCTCCCATCGTTTGTCTGTAAGGCTTTCGCTCCAAACGTGCTGGGCTGGGAGAGTGGCTCCCAAGACCTAAGGCTGTGAGTGATCCTGGAGGAAAGGTGGGAAACACAGAGAGAGCCGGCAGGGGTCCGTTTGTAAGTCACCCTTAAACTTCAGGGCAGTCTTAACGGTCACACTTGACAACTTTACTTATTTAAGTAAAGACTGCTTCCATAGGATTTTTTTTTTTAAAGGAAGGGTCAAATCATAGCAGTCCTGACTTCTCAGAACAGAAAGTGGGGGCCGTGGATTCTCTGGGGTCCCCCCGCCATGGGAGAGAGGGCAGAGGCCTGCCGCCCGCAGTGCTGCTCAGGAGGCGCAGGAGTGTCGCGTCGGTGGGCTTGAGGGGGAGGGGCCCTCTGTCTCGGCCTCGGCCTGGGAGACTAGGACCTCTTGGAGCTGCCAGGGTCTTGGCGGGCTGTCGGGGATGAGTTCCAGGCACAGGACTATAAACCCGCTGTTCCCTGGGCTTGCATCCGCTGCTTCAGGAAAAACAAACAGGTCTTGGGGATGGGCCATCCCTTGGGACAAGGGGAGGGGGTCTGTGGTGGCCTGGGGGAAGGAGGAGGCCTGGAGGTTAAGGCCAGCGCCTTCTGTCCTTCCTCCCAGTCACGGGGGAGGCAGCCCAGACCCGCGAATGAGGCCTCACCCTCCAGGGGCTAGGCCGGGCGGACATCAATTGGGCCTGTGCCAGTGGCTGTGACTCCTGCCACCTGCCCTGTTCCATACCCAACTTTCTCCCTCACCAAGGTCACTTTTTTCCCTTTGCAATAATCTAGGCTTGGGGCTGGGAAGGTGGCTCAGTGGTAGAGCGCTGGCCTTGCATGCATGAAGCCCTGGGTTCCATTCCTCAGCACCACATATGCAGAGAAAGCTAGAAGTGGTGCTGTGTTTCAAGTGGTAGAATGCTAGCCTTGAGCAAAAGAAGTTCGGGGACGGTGCCCAGGTCCTGAGTTCAAGCTCCAGGACTGGCAAAAATAATAATCCAGTCTTTTAAAAAAAATGTGTGCCATTATTAGAGCTGGAAGTCGGGGCCTAAGCACTGACCCTTGGTTTTTTGTCCAAGGCCAGACTCTACCACTTGAGGCACAGCTCCACTTCTGGCTTTTTCCTGGTTAATTGGAGATAGAGTTTCATGGACTTTCCTTTTTTCAGGCTGGCTTTGAATCTCCATCTTTAGATCTCAACCTTCTGAGTAGCTAGGATTACAGGTGTGAGCCACCAGTACCTGGCTAATTTGGGCTTGTTAAGTGAGTCAACTATTTTACTAAAAATTCAATGAAACATGTTTAATTTAGAATAATCTGGCAAGGTACTGGTGGCTGAAGATCCAAGTTGCAACCCAGACTGGAAAGTAGAGTCTGTGAAACTCTTGTCTCCAACTAGCCAGCCAAAGGCCAGCACTGAAGGCAGGGCTCAAATGGTAGTGCACCCGCAGGAATGAGAGGGCCTGGGTTCAGACCCCAGTACTGGCACATGCACACAAGGCTTTAAAAACGGTCTGAAGTTGCGATGAGCACACCGGTATGTGCGGTTCCCCGAGGCCCCGGGGCTAGCGCCTCTCGCCCACAAACTGTTCTCAGAGGCCCTTTGCACGCTGACTTTGCCTACGCGAGTTTTTGTCTGTTCATAAAAGTAAGACATTTAAGGATGCTCCCACGTAAAAAAGGAACAATGGGACCAGGACAGCGTGGAGCAGGCGTGGGGCTGCAGGGGAAATGCACCTTCCGGGCGGCAGCGGCAGCGGCAGCTCTGGCTCTTACTGCAGCCGCGTCCCGTGCCCAGTGCCCAGGGTGCCACGTGGCACGTGGTTTCTCAGACTCCCAGTGGCCTGGTCCTGCCGTGTCCCCCTCCTGGTCTCGGAAGGTCCCACAGGCACCAGGCCCCAAACCATACCCCTCCCCCAACAAGACAGATGCTGACCAGCACCCCAGCCCATACAGCCACGGCCCAAGCTACCGAGAGCACAGGGTGTGGCCTGGTACCCCAAGGCCCACCGACCCCCTCACTGCCTGCCGGTCCTCTCTGACCTGCGTGCAACACGCCCATCCTGTATCTTTGAGAGCTGGGACCCACTGGGAGCTAGCAGGCCCAGGAGCCGAGGGGCAAGCTCGGCCTCAGATTTTGAGGAATGAATGGGCATGTTGTCACCAAAGGGACGAGGGCCTGTCCCAAGACAGTTGAGCCTCAGGTGCTGGGGTCCACTGGGCCGTCAGGGCTCCAGACTGGTGGTGTGTGGTCTCGGCGTGGGGAGCAGGCTGCCGGGCAGCCGTGCGTGTGCACACTCTCACCTGCTGGGCCCTGTACGTGTTTGTGAGGAACGGATGCGTTTGTTGATGCCTCCCTCCGCGCCCCGCTCCCAGGCCGCTGTGGCGCTCATGGGGTGCAGATCCCCGTCTCTTCAGCCCGCAGCCCTGGGCAGCCTGGCTCTCCGCCCTGGGCAGGGCTTGGCTTCAGGTAGAAGATACCTGAGTGTGCTTCAGGGACACACCTCTGTGTGTGTACATGTGTGTGTGCTGTGCATACTAGGTGTCTGGGCCACAGTGCCCACGTGTGACCTTGTGTGGGGGTGACGTGCACAGTCCTGTGTATCTAGTGTATGTGTGCGTACACATGCATGCACGCACGTGTGCACGTACACCGTAGACAGCCCCGGGTCCCTTTCAAAGGCCCGGCAGGAGCCCACTTCCCCTTTGTGTGGGGGAGGTGCGTGTTGTTACTGTGGGGCTGGGCTGGGCGCCCGTCTGTTAAGGACAATGGGCCGTGGGAGGCGCGGCTCCGGCACAGCTGGGTGGGGCCTTGCGGGTGCTCAGGGCGGAGCAAAGCCTCTGGTGTGCCCGTTCCTGCCACTCGGTCCATGCGTGCCACGGTGCCTTCCTGCTGCCAGGAGCTCACAGGCCGCCTGCCCCGCCGGCCGAGCAGTTGCCTGTGATGTGTACCTGGGTGTCCATGTGTCTGTCTATGTGTCCCTTTGCATGGACAGCCCTTTGGGCTGAGACTACTGGGCCTTTCCTCACCAACCACTGTCCCCCCCCCCCCCCCCCCGCTTCCTCCTCCTCCCCCTCCTCTTCCTCTTTTTCTTCCTCCTCCTCCTCCCCCTCCTCTTCCTCCTCCTCTTTTTCTTCCTCCTCCTCCTCCCCCTCCTCTTCCTCCTCTTTTTCTTCCTCCTCTTCCTCCTCTTTTTCTTCCTCCTCTTCCTCCCCTCCTCTTCCTCCCCCTCCTCTTCCTCCTCCTCCTCTTTTTCTTCCTCCTCCTCCTCCCTGCCCATGGCCAGGCTCTCCGGGGCTAAGGCAGCTTGCCACGCTGCCTTTGGGTCTGCTGTCAGCTGGAGTGGGTTACGTGGCATCGCCCCATGAGGTGCTGCCCACAGCAGCCTCCTGGGGCAGGCCCGGGCTCCCCTGGCCCGGCATGGAGCTTGTTACTTGGCCCCTACAGGGCTAAGAGCTGGGGTGTCCTGGTAGGGTGCTCAGAACAGGCACAAAGACCACAGACAACACAGGATCCCACCCCACTGACATGTTCCCACTTCTAGAAGGGTCCGGGCACCGTGCGTCCGTCCCGCTGCCCAGGAGTGAGTTCCAGTCCAGGGGAGGTCGCCCCTTCCCCTACCCAGCAGGCTCCAGGCTCCAGGCCTCTGAGAGCCAGCGGTGACCACACGTGGAGGGTAGGCTCCGAGTGCCCGTGGGACACGAGGCCAGGAGCAAACCTCAGATGCCCGCAGGGCCCCCCTGGGTGGGGCGCTGCCCGTACTCCTGTTGCCACCCACGTGCTCTGAACGGACTGCTCCTCCGCTGAGTGGGAGGCTGGAGCCCTGTCCTGTTCTCCAAGCAGAGGAAAAACGAAGCATCTGGAGCCCTGGGCGGGTGGCAGGAAGCAGCACCATCCTGTCTCCGCTGTTTGTGGACGGCCAGCCTCGGTGGGAGCTTCCGGCCGCCCGGGGGGCTGGGACAGGGCAGGACGGGGCCAGCAGCGGGGCAGGGAGGCCCGGCCTCCCACGGGTCGGCACCAAGGCCTGCACCCCCGTCTAGCTAACACAGGCCCCTGGGGGTAGGAAGGCTGCGGCTGGCAGTCTGAGGGGCTCCACCGACCTGCCACTCTCTTCCTGGCTCTTTGGCCAAGCTGGCCAGGGGGCAGTGAAAGCCCATAGCTGTCCGGGAGGGCGGGGCCTCGGGCAGCTCTGCTCAGCAGGGTCGGCTTGGACCGGCAGGTGACTCCCCCTCCCCCGCTCCAGCCTGCAGTCGGCTGAGTGTCTCTCTTCCCCCCAGGTGACAGTCACCACCATCGGCTACGGGGACAAGGTGCCCCAGACGTGGGTGGGGAAGACCATCGCCTCCTGCTTCTCTGTCTTCGCCATCTCCTTCTTTGCCCTCCCGGCGGTAGGTATCCAGCGGGGCCCTGGCCCTGGCCCTCTGCCAGCTGGGCATCTCCCTGTGCGCACTCACAGAGGTGGCCTGGCCAATGCCAAGGCGGTGCATTCCTTCCCGAAGGTGCCAGCCTCCAGAGGCCACCGCCACAAACTGCAGTCAGCCCGGCCTGCCCTGCCCTGCCCCCCACGCGTCCCTCAGAGGTGGCCTAGCCTGGCGTGGACCAGAGAGGGGGTGAGAGCATCAGGGAGCCGTGGCCCAGCTGCCCGTCCTGGCAGGGCTCTGGGGAGCAGGTCGTCCTGCGAGACAGCTGGGAGGGAGGGCTGCGTTTCCCACCCTCCGCAGGAACCACAGGCAGAAGGCGGAGGCCAGATTCCCTGTGAGCACAGCTGTACTCGGACAGTGCTCTGTGGGCACGCGTGTGGCCACGGGTGAACAGGTGGTTACCAGCGCACAACCCTTGGGATGTGTGCACCGCCTGCACTGCGTGCATGTCATACGTGTGTGAATGTGTGCGCGCGTGCCTGCACCTGGCATTTGCTCAGCATGCTTGTGCTCGGTGTTGGATGTGTCACGGCGTACACGCACGTGTTTCCTGGGCATGGTTGGCCTGTGTACATTTGGGTACTTATCATGTTTTGAGTGTGGGATGTGTTGTATATGGACATACACGTGTGTGTGTGTCCTGTGTGCATTCCTGTGTGGTACTATGTGTTTATGTGTATCTGCTGAACACACATCACAAGCCATGTATGACTGTATGTGTGACATCGCAAGCCATGTATGACTGTATGTGTGACATCGCAAGCCATGTATGACTGCGTACGTGTGACATCGCAAGCCATGTATGACTGTATGTGTGACATCGCAAGCCATGTATGACTGCGTACGTGTGACATCGCAAGCCACATATGACTGTATGTGTGACATCGCAAGCCATGTATGACTGTATGTGTAACATCGCAAGCCATGTATAACTGTGTGACATCGCAAGCCACGTATGACGGTATGTGTGACATTGCAAGCCACGTATGACTGTATGTGTGACATCGCAAGCCATGTATGACTGCGTACGTGTGACATCACAAGCCACGTATGACTGTATGTGTGACATCGCAAGCCACGTATGACTGTATGTGTGACATCGCAAGCCATGTATGACTGCATACGTGTGACATCGCAAGCCATGTACGACTGCGTACGTGTGACATCATAAGCCATGCATGACTGCGTACGTGTGACATCGCAAGCCATGTATGGCTATGTGTGACATCGCAAGCCACGTATGACTGTATGTGTGACATTGCAAGCCATGTATGACTGTATGTGTAACATTGCAAGCCATGTATGACTGTGTGACATCACAAGCCACGTATGACTGTATGTGTGACATCGCAAGCCACGTATGACTGTATGTGTGACATCGCAAGCCATGTATGACTGCGTACGTGTGACATCGCAAGCCACGTATGACTGTATGTGTGACATCGCAAGCCATGTATGACTGCGTACGTGAGACATCGTAAGCCATGCATGACTGCGTACGTGTGACATCGCAAGCCACGTATGATTCTATGTGTGACATCGCAAGCCACGTATGACTGTATGTGTGACATCGCAAGCCATATATGACTGTATGTGTAACATCGCAAGCCGTGTATGACTGTGTGACATCACAAGCCACGTATGACTATGTGTGACATCGCAAGCCACGTATGACTGTATGTGTGACATCGCAAGCCATGTATGACTGCATACGTGTGACATCGCAAGCCACATATGACTGTATGTGTGACATCGCAAGCCACATATGACTGTATGTGTGACATCGCAAGCCATGTATGACTGCGTACACGTGACATCGCAAGCCATGTATAACTATATGTGTGACTTCGTAAGCCATGTATGACTGCGTACGCGTGACATCGCAAGCCATGTATGACTGTATGTGTGACATCGCAAGCCATGTATGACTGTATGTGTGACATCGCAAGCCACGTATGACTGCGTACGTGTGACATCGCAAGCCACGTATGACTGCGTACGTGTGACGTCGCAAGCCACGTATGACTGCGTGCGTGTGACATCGCAAGCCACGTATGACTGCGTGCGTGTGACATCGCAAGCCACGTATGACTGCATGCGTGTGACATTGCAAGCCACGTATGACTGCGTACGTGTGACATCGCAAGCCATGTATGACTATGTGTGACATCGCAAGCCATGCGTGACTGCGTACGTGTGACATTGCAAGCCACGTATGACTGCGTACGTGTGACATCGCAAGCCATGTATGACTGTATGTGTGACATTGCAAGCCATGTATGACTGCGTACGTGTGACATGCGTGCTCCTGGCTTGGGCGGGGAGCTCCCTGCGGCCGTTCTGTCTGCAGTGGCTGTATCTTTGCTGTGGAGAGCCTAGGTCTGCAGCCCTCTGCCCTGGGGTACAGAGGCTGGCTGTGGGAGAGGGGGTCAGAGAGGCCACGGGCGCTCCGGGGGGCTAGGCTGGCCCTGGGCGGGCTCTGCCCCCGGCCAGTCTGGGCCGTGCACGTGCACCGAGCCAGGCAGTGCCTCTGGCCCGGAGGACTGGGCTTCGTGAGGTCATTCAGCACCCAGCGCATCACCCGGCACCTTGGCCTCTTCCTCCCCAGGGCATCCTGGGCTCTGGCTTTGCCCTGAAGGTCCAGCAGAAGCAGCGGCAGAAGCATTTCAACCGGCAGATCCCGGCCGCTGCCTCGCTCATTCAGGTACGAGCAAGCTGGCCCTGCCAACTCGCGTGCCCTTCCCATGGTGCCAACCCAGCCTGTGATGAGGACCGGGGCCCGGCTCGGGGGCCTTGCCACAGCCTGGCATCCTGCCTGGAGAGGCACCTGCCCTTCAGCCACATGCTGGGCAGCAAGTGCAGGGTCACCTTCCCTCATGGCCCTTCCTGCCTGTGGGCCAGAGACCAGGCGCAGGTGGGGCCCGCCCTCCCACCATCCGATGCCACCCATCCACGGGCCCCCAGCCTCCGTGCGCGGAGCTGAGTCTCAGAGGGAAGACAGCAGGGGCCCAGGACGCGTGGCCCAGCTTCCCTGCGAGGGGCCCTCCATCAGTGCGTGGAGTCCCAAAGCCAGAAGACAGGGAAGCACAGCCCGAGAGCTGGAGGGAAGGGAGGCTCTTGGTGTGGCGGCCCCTGGGGAGACCTGGGTTCTGCTGGTGTCACTCTGTGCAGAGGACGGAGCTGTTCTCTCCATGGAAGCACACACCATACCATACACGTGTGGGACGTGCGGATGAGTGGTTTCTGGGCTGGGGGCGGGGCTGGGGGCAGGGCTGCGGAGCGCTTGGGTTACAAGAGGTCTGGTCCATGACCCCTGGGCTGGGGATGGCAGTGTCCAGCCCTGGACAAGACCCTTTGCCCAGTGTGGACACCAGGGCTGGGCTTTCCCTGTGGGCTGTAGCCCTGGACAGGCCCAGGCGGCGGTGGTCCCCTCTGCCCAGCCCGGATGAGGGGTGGGCAGGGCTCCACAGCCAGGGCGTGCATGGTTCTTGCCAAGGCTCCCAGCACCCTGGCGTCCACCTCATTTCTCCGAGGCCCTTTCAGAGCTGGCTACCCGGGGCCTGGACCTCATGCCCGGGCAGGGCCCGTGGCTCTGTGGCCCCCACTCCAGCCTAGCTTTATGCCCCCCTCGGCTCTCCTTTTGGGGAGACCGTAAATCAGGTGGCAGGGGCAGAGGGCCCACCACGGGGGAGCCCGAGTCTGCTCCTGGGGCGGGGTGAAGGGGCCCGGTGGGGGGCTCAGGGGTGTGCGCAGTGGGGCGCAGAGGATGTGGCATGTGCAAGGGATGCGGCTGTCTGCGGTGCCCTGCCGGCCTCCGCCCTGCGGGCTGTCCCTCACAAGCCGCACCTCTGCCAGCTTCTCCCTCTTTCTTGGGCTTGCAGGGTCAGGCATGACAAGAGGCCACCACAACTTGTCCTTGTGTGCCATCCCTGTCCACCCAGGGGCTACCGGGGCCCATGTGTCCCCTGCTTGCTTGCCCCTCCCCCAGGTCTGCCCTCGGGTGGACGCTCGGAAGGCCCCTCTGGCACATGGCCTAAGGCCTCATCCGAGGGCGCCCGACCCTCCACAGCTGTAGGATGCCTCTCCGGGAGGCCCCCTCTGCCCCGGACCCCTCAGCTCACTCCTGCAAGCCCTGGGGCCCTGTTCCCCCCCCCCCCCCGCCCCGGCTCCTCTGTGCTCTGCAGTGCCCGCTCAGGCCCACCCACCCCTCTTCGCCGTCCCTCCTTCCTGAGTAGACCCTGGTCATCCAGTTCTGTGCATGTTGTCTGTGTTGCTCTGCGTTCAGGATGAGCAAGTTTGGCCTGCAGACAGGGCTCAGGGGGTAGAGCTGGGAGGAGAAAGCTTGGGGCTCCCAAGCAAAGGCCGTGGAGGCCCGTGCGCCATGCGTGACTGGCTGTGCGTGACTGGCCGTGTGTGAGGCGGTGATCCGCACCTGGCTGTGGGAGCAGAGGGTCCAGAGGCCAGCCACAGGCGCTCTCCCACCCAGGGGAGAGGGGCTGGGCCCAGGATGGCCTCTGGGGAGGCCCCCCGGGGTGGCTGGAGGGATGACAGACTCTCCATCCTGCCATCTGCAGACAGCGTGGAGGTGCTACGCTGCGGAGAACCCCGACTCCTCCACCTGGAAGATCTACGTCCGGAAGCCCACCCGGAGCCATGCGCTGCTCTCCCCAAGCCCCAAGCCCAAGAAATCCGTCACGGTAACCAGCCAGTCTGGCGCGGGGCGGGGGCCGCCCGCTCGTGGGGAAGGGGGGGCGTGGGAGCCAAGGTGGTGGGCCGTCAGTTGAGTGGGGTCCGGGTCCGGCAGTCAATATCACTCCAGGCGTGGAGGCACACACCCCATGCCAGGCCCCGCCGCCCTGCTGTGCCCAAGACCAGGACTGCAAGGGGCCCGGAGGGACACGGGAAGAGCCGGCCCTGGACGGAAGGCACGTCTTTCTCCGTGTGTCTGTGGCCTGCGTGCGGCCCTGACCAGGCTGGGCTCCCCACGACACCCCCGTAGTCCTGGGCACCCCCGTGTGCCCCCGGTGGGGGCCAAGGAGCTGCGAGCGGCGGGCGCAGCGGGCGGGGCCGCGCAGGAGTGACCCCGCCATTGTGTGGATGTTTAGGTAAAGAAAAAAAAGTTCAAACTGGACAAAGATAATGGGGTGAGCCTGGGGGAGAAGACACTCACCGTCCCCCACATCACGTGTGACCCCCCGGAGGACAGCTATGAAAGCTCTGGTGAGTCCCATGGTGTGGGCACGGGGGGGGGGGGAGCCACGGGGCAGGACTGGCCGCGGTCAGCGTGGCCTGGGGAGTCCCCGTACCCCAGCATCTCTCCGTGCTTTCTCCCAGTGCCCTGCGGGCACGCAGGGCCACGGCCTTTTCTGGGAGCCCAAGTAGGAGAGAATTGGGATCTTTGCTTCTAGAGGATGAACAGATCAAATAAGCTTCTAGAAACTTCTTCCAGCAGGTTCCCCCAGGCCTTTCCCAAGCAGGGAGGTGGGAACGGGTTGCGGCTCCCGCTGCGGGGGAAGGTGGCTTCAGCAGGCTCCCTTCAACCAGTCCCTCAGCCCTGCACTGGGAGAGTGGCCGGCTGGCCTCGTGGGGCGGGAGTGAGGCGCACCCCACACACAGGCCCCGCGTACGTGTGCTGGGCTGGGTTATGCGGTGGTGCGGCTCTGAGGTCAGTGGGCTTGGGGAGAGGCCGCGTTTGTCCCCCAGGCCTCAAGCTGGAACTTGCCCTGCCCTGTGTGTGGCTCTTCCGTATCTTCCACCCAGCTCTCTATAGGGGGGAGGGAGGTTGTGCCAGACTTGTTAGGAGGCCCATGAGCTGCTATGCACCCCCGGGGAGCCAGGTGGCTGGGGATGGGGCAGTTTTGGAGTCTGGGGACCCCAGGCTCCAGGAGGTGTGTGGAGGGGTGTAGCTTAGCTCTTAGACTGCTGTGCTGGAAGGGACCCATTGCTTCCTGGGGTGCTAACTTCTTTCTGTGATGAGTTCAATGCCAATGGCCAAATTCTCTAGTTCTCTCTCCTTCCTTCCTCCCTACATCCCTTCCTTTCCCTTCTTCCCCTCCCCTCCCTTCTCCTTCCCTCCCTTCTCCTCCCCTCCCTTCCTCCCTCCTTCCCTCCCTTCTCCTTCCCTCCCTCCCTGCCTTCTCTTTCTTTCTTCTGTGCTGGTCCTGGGTCTTGAACTCAGGGCCTGGTTGCTGTTCCTGAGCATTTTTTCACTCTATCACTCTACCACTTGAACCACAGCTTCACTTCTGGCTTTTTGGTGGCTCACTGGGGATTAGAGTCTCCTGAACTCTCTTGCCTGGGCTAGTTTTGAACTATGATCCTCAGACCTCAGCCTCCCAAGTGAGCCCCTGGTTCCCGGCTCTAGTAGTTCTCTTTAACTCGAGTGGAATGGGGCCACTTTGTGGGCCTGAGATAGCGGGGCTGTCACCAAGACCTGAACATGGCCCTCACCTTCCCAGGGGAAAAGCCAGCCTGGCCTCTCCCCCAAGGCCATGTTGGTTGCCCTGCCAATCACCTCCACCGACAAGGTGGGGACTGGGCAAACAGCATCCCCAGGACCTGTGCCCGCCGGCTCAATCAGCCGTGGCCCGAAAACATTCGAGAAGAAAACTGTCTATTCACGTGGCAGCCGCAAACAGAGCATTTTCTGGTCTGTAATCTCTGGAAGCACAACAATATAGCAACCGTTTACAAAGTGTTTATATTGCATTAGGGGCGTGTGTGTGTGTGTGTGTGTGTGTGTGTGTGTGTGTGTGTGTGTGTACACAGGCATACGAGTGTGTGTGCACAGGATGGTACTGAAGCTTGAACTTGGGGCCTTGGGCTCTTGCTTGGCTTTTTCCTGACCGTGGTTAGTATTCTACCACTTGAGCCATGGCTCCATGTCTGGCTTGTTACTGGCTAACAGAAGATAAGAGCCTCTTGGACTTGTCTGCCCAGGCTGGCTTTGAACCTTGATCCTCGGACCTCCCCCGCTGAGTAGCTAGGATGGCAGGCATGAGCCTGCCTTAGGAACCAGACATAAGTAAGTTGAAGGTGTTTGGAAGTCCACGGGAGCGTGTGCCGCTTTGCACCCAGGACGTGAGCGCTGTTAGATGGCCGCTTCTCAGGGGTCCTGGGTGCCATGCCCGTGGGGAGCCAGGTGCCAGCTACGTCACCAGCAGAGGGGTCTTGGTGGGTATTCATAAAATCCCAGCGTGGGACACAGCCCTGGGGTTCAAGGAACACCTAGTTTGAGGCCCAATTTACTCCCACAGTCCCACGAAGACCCCGGAGTTGGGATCTGTCCCTCGGAGGCCAGCGGAGCCCTCTCCTTCCAGATTGAGGGGCGCGGGTCAGGCCAAAGTGCCCGCTTCCTCTTGGCTGCTCCCTGGGTCTGAGCGGAGAGCAGACAGCGGAGGCGGGGGCTGGCCTCTGCCCTCCTCCCAGCACTCCCTGCAGGCCCAGGCGAGGCCGGCGCCCCTGGTGGCAGATGGCCCTGGTCAGACTCTGGGCTGTTGGGAGCCAGGCCTGACCCCGTCGTACCATGTGGCCAGGGCCCTAGTCTGGTGGAAGGGAGGCCGTCCGCACACAGTGACCTCCCGTCCTGGACGGAGCATTGGGCCTAGGGGTGCGACAGTGTGCGACAGCCCCCTCCCCGCCCCCCCCCCCCCCCGGACTTCTGCTCCTCTGCGTTCCTGTCCTTTTCCTCTGCCCCTCCCTTCCCAGACTTCTGCACTGTGCCTGGGACCAGACTGGTGTAAGACCAATTAGAATGTTCCAGGAGCCAGCAGCTCGTTCCAGCTCCATGGTGGCAGTTGTGAGGACAAACTGCCACCAGTTTCTCTCAGAGTGACAGAAGGTGGCACACTGCGTTGTCTGTCCCCGCTGGTCTGGACCCTGGCCCGCTGCGCAACGGCTGTTGGCGGCCGCGGCCCTGGGTGCTGCATCTGCTCATCGTCCCCGTGTCTGAGTCTTGCTAGGAAGGCAAGGAATGTTCCAGACAGGCCTGTGGTGGTTTTGCTCCCCGAGGCCGTCCCGGGCACCCGCTCCGCTGCACGCCGAGCCCCGCGGTCTAATCACATGCCGTGAGGATTTGGCTCCGGCCACCTCTCCGTGAGTTCCTGGGACGTGTGCCCGCCTGCCCAGTGGAGTGGGCACAAAGGACAATTGTGCCAACAAATGCCCAGGGCCCCGCGGCCCCGGCATCAGGGGTGGATCATTGTCTCCATGCAAATGGGGGCTTTCTGCGAATGCATGAGCAGCGGCGGCCCGGGACGCCGGCCCGGCTCAGCTGAGCCTGGGCCGTGCAGGTCCGTGCCGCCATTCAGCCTGGTGCTGCTACGAAGTCGCCGGTGACGTCCACGGCATGCTAATAAGGGGCGAGTGCGGAGGGAGGCGGGCGCCCTTTGTGGAATGCTCCTGCACCAGGCCTTTTCTTTCCTCTAATATGATAAGCCAGCCTAGCCCCGGGCCACCAGACTTGGGAGCCCAGACCATCGGCCTGCCCGCCCCCCCTCCCCCCAGCAGCCCTCACCCTGGGGTGAGCTGACACACACTCCGGGAGTCCTCGGTGCCCAGGAGGCTCACGGGAAGTCCTGGCAGGGGGACTCGGGGTGTTCATCCCGGAGCAGATGCCCTCCCTGGGAAAGCCGCGGGGCCCGCCCCCTCGAGGCAGCGGCGGCGGTGCCTGTGCCTTCCACTGTGACAGCTGGGCGGACGGGACCCGCCTGCACGCGGTGCCCACCTGCCCACCTGGGCAGCGCCTTTGCGGGCACATGCTTGGGGTGTAGCCGTGCGAGGGACCAGGCTGCCGTGTTGGCCCTGTTACAGAGGGAGAAACTGAGGCCTGAATCACATGAGGGTGTCTCCGACACAGGTGTCCCAAGGAGACGCTGGTGGCCTTCCCCAGGGGCACCCGCGGGTGGCGGTGGCCGGCCGCGGAGGAGGCAGGGAGGCCAGGCTGACCAACCGTGGTGGGGAAGGAGGTGGCAGCCCTCCCTCCTCGCAGGCCCCCTGCTGCAGGGCGCCATCCTGCCGGGAAGGGCAGGTCGGGGCGCGGGGACGTGCAGCAGGCCGGCCGGGCCTGGCTTCGGTGCAGAAGAGCAGTGTCAGTCACTACAAGACTCGCACGCAGCTGGCCAGAGGGCAAGATGGTGACCACCCGCGGTCAGGCCAAGGGCACGTGACACGGGTAGCTGGCCTGCCGGAGGCCCTGAGCGCTCCTCGCGGGCTAGCGGAGGCCAGAGCTCAGGCAGCCTCTGCCCGCAAGAGCCACGGGTCCCACAGAGGGCCAGTGTGGTGGGGGTGGTTCCCACTCTACTTGTTCCTCTCTTCCTTCTTCTTCTTCCTTGTCCTTCCTTCCTTCCTCCCTCCCTCCTTCCCTCCCTCCCTCCCTCCCTCCCTCCCTTCCTGCTGGTACTGGGACTTGAGCTCAGAGCCTCACGCTTGCTTGGCTTTCTTGCTCAGCTGGCATTCTCCCACTTGAGTCATGCTTCTAGTCTGGCTTTTTCGTGGGGGGGAGGTAAACTATTTTTTAATTTATGGCAGTATGAGGACTTGAACTCAGGACCTGGAGCTTGCTTGCCTTGCTTGCTCGTGGCTGGCGCTCTACCAGTGCAGACCACACTCTGGTCGTCAGTCCAGCTTTCTGCTGGTTATGTTTAAGGAGATGGAGTCTCACGGACTTTTCTCCTCCGGCTGGCTTCCAGTCTCCATCCTCCAGCTCTCATCCTCCCCGCCTAGCTAGGAGTAATAGGGGAGCCGCCAGCGGCCGGCTTTGTGCGCTCTTCTGGGGGGAGTCGGGCAAGGCAGGGGCCAGGCAGAGCGGGCGGCGCGGCGGCGCCTCCCGTGGCTCGTGCGTGGCACTCACCTGGACACCAGGAGCCGCGCCCGCCGCCTCGCACAGGTCCCCAGCGTCCTCCCGCCTCTTGGGCCAGTGCCGTTGGCGGTTTGCCTCGCCTGTGTGAGTGCTGCGCTTCGACCTTGTCTCCTGGCACTTGCTGCGCTGCTCTGGTGCCTCGGAGCCTTGCACACGCCCGTCAGCCCGGCTGTGGCCCACGTGAGACCTGCTGTCCGCCCTCGGGCCTGCCTGCTGCCTCACCACCGGGCCAGATTTCCTTCTTCCTGAAGCTCAGCTTCCTTCACGCACGGTCTGCAGGTGGTGGGGGGAGGCCGCTCTGGCTGGCCTGGACTTGTCAGTGCTCCCCACATCCTGTATACAAACGCGTGCTTCTCCAGAC